AACACTGAGTAATCTCATGCAGTCGACAGGTTCTGTGCACAGTGCAGAGAGGACACTGTTACTGTCACTAATCTCTTCTTCTCTCTTCAGCTGCTCCTTTAGGGGAGCTACAGCAGCCCACCTGCCTACACCTCCTCCGACCTCAGTGTCCTCTGTCACACCGACCGTCTGCATGTCCTCCACGAAGCTCCCCTCGGCTGCAGCAGGTCTCACCTCCATCTTTAAATCGTTAATTCTTTCACTCTTGCTGCTTCCTTCAGTCACACTCCAGTGGATGGAGAGGAGCTCCGACACTTGTCTCCGCCTACTCCACCCTGTTGTGTCTCACTTCTTCACCTTCTTCTTGCCCTGACCCCTGGTAGACTCCCCCACCTTCACTCCCCCTGTTCCTGCACCTTCCTCCACCCGTCTCCCTCTCATTCACACACACGTATTCCTTGTGTGAATACCTCCACCTCTCCAGGCTCTCCTCCACCTGCTCCCTACTCTCACCACAGGTCTCAGTGTTGCCCACAGAGACTCCTGACAGACCTCATCCATCAGTCTGTCCTCCACCCCTAGAGAAAAGAGTTCAGAGCTGATTCCTGATATAATCCCGCCCCCGCCTTGACCTAAACCAATCATATAGCATGAAGCCCATCTTTCATATACAGTCTGTTGTCAGTGGTCATGAACAGTAAGAAAAATCTTTGTTTCCTGTGTCGTTGTAGCTTCAGCTGTTCCAGTTTTCAGTGTTTCCGACCGAGTCTTTGTGCTAGTCATTACATCTCACTGACCTATGGTGCAGAAGCACCTGTGACACACACATTCACACAGCTTCAGTCTGATGTATCTGCAGTCAGAGCTGATCTGAGAACAGGCACTCGTGATTATAGTAATATGAAAGCATCACTCACTGTCCGCCCCAGTAGAGCTTAGTGGTCACCACATAACTGGACCTCCTGGTGGAGACACACACACACACAAGTTATTTCAGTGGTATTGCTGTTGCACCGCCATCAGTCAGTGTGAGAGATGGAGCGCGGTTGGAGGGAGGGGAGGAAACGATGGAGATTAAAATGAGGTGGAGGAGACGGATGGAGGGAAAATCTGCTGAGTCACACATCAACACGTCTTCAAGACAAAACACACGTTATTATTCTGGGAGTTTGGTCCAGCACAGC